AATATTGTTTTCCTGACATGCAAAACTGATATAAATATATTAAAATAATGCCGTAAAGTGAATTGATATTTTTACGACAATCAGTTGTTCTTTATACACTCTCCCTTTACCGTATGTCTATGATAGGGCTATTATTCACAATAACCATTTGATATTTGATGCCAAGAAAGTAATTTATGTATATTCTTCGCCATAAAGAAAATTAATCCTAAAGTAAAAGTAAAAGCATCCAGTATCGTTACGCTGCAATAATTTATTTCTCACTATGATGTGTATGTTATCTTTTATACACTTTTACAGAATCTGCGATGGATAATCATCTTTTCTTGAACGTGCATTGCAAAGCAGAACCTTTATTTATAGCGTTTTAATCATATCATTATAAATTATCGCATTGGTAATAGTCAGTTTTTATTAACTTGAGCAATTGATCTTGCAATCCGGAATCACATCTAAATATTAAATACATCAGTTGTTATAATAACAGTTATAATATGTTGTTTAGTTTTGTTTAACGGCGTACCAACACAATTGAGGTCATATGGCGCCGAAACAGGAAAGATGATTTTGGTTAACCTCGGATGTACCAAACGTAAAGTAAATTAGTTAAGATAGGTGTCATATTTTTGATTTAAGAGCATTCTTGGCAAAACTTGAATTTGATTATTTTCTAATGCTTTAATAGAAATGTTTGCTTAGATATTTATGAGTATTTCAACAATGTATTTGGTGTACCCATGAATAATAATAGCCTTATTTTTTATTTCATATTAGGCCATATATCTTTTTTTTACGTGTCGCAATGAAGGTTCCATTGATTACCACCCTATGAACAAATGGATGTTTCTTTATTTAAATTTCACCATTTTCACGTTTAAATGTTAAATTCTGCTTAAGCAGGTGCTAGGGGGGGGGGGGGGAATGAACGGGGGATGAAATGGTTCAGTCAAACTGTGTCTGCAACATTTTCAATTTTGTCGTTCTGGACGATTTTTAGGGATTCTGTTTTTCTCTATTTTATTGCCTAATAGGGCATACTCCAAATGTCTAGAGTATGATATTTGTTACAAAATTTGAAGAGTGGACAGTTTGTTGCCAAAATAAGTTTCGTGTGTGAAATTGATTAGTACGGAAATTTTTTTTATTATATTTAAAAAAAAACAACAAATATGAACGTCTGATACATTTCAGTTTCAACACAACACAAATAGAGACATCGCTTGATATTTCTCATTTTTAAAAGATAAACAATTCAAATACAATTAAGTTGTCTGTGATTTAGATTGCTTTTGTCAATAACACAAGCAAAATGGAAGAACAAAGATGTTTGAACCACAAAATTTACAACATTTACTCTTTAGCAGACAACATTTTCGACTCCGATTTATGAGATATTTTATTGTATTTCTTTATGTATAAGTATGACGATATTTTGATATGCTAGATTCAAAAAGTCTTCAAAATTTGTATTTGTCTGCTTTTATTATTTGTACTTCTTTTAAACTTACCAGAAATTGTTTGGCTTGTTCGAGTTTGTTATATATATTCCTTGACATTTAACTAAGGCAGCATTTTGCTAACTTTTGCATTTTACATGTTTAATAAAGTTTCAAATTCTGGATAGTCTTGAAGACCATCATATTGGTTTGCTACACACATACTATATAGTATGAAAAACAAAAACAAAACGTTTCTATGAAATACAGTAAAAAAACACATTTTTTTTCTTTTTTTGTGCGTTCTTTCTTCGAACGCTTACAGTGTCCTACAACAAATACTAATTAAATAGTTCGTTATTTGTATATCAAAGAGGTATTTATAATTTAGAATTCGTTTGAATTCAACAAGACCTGAACAATTGTAATATTTAAAGAATGTCTGATTTGTTCTAGAATCCAATTTCTAATTATGCATTGTAAAAAGACTTTAAAATGTTATGAATGACAATGATGGATTATTAGACTGATGACTCGTGACAGATTATTTTTATGGTATATATTAAAGCAATGAATGTGAAGAAATAAATATTTATATAACATACTTATCATGTATTGAATATAACGTTTAAAGTATGATTATGACCCACCCTCAATCAGTCATATTGTTATCATTGTCACGTGGCTTCTAATAAAAACTGATTGTTATTTTTTTGCACTAGTATTTATATGTATTTATGGCCTTCTTAATCAATTTTTAAAACTAGAGAAATAGTATTTATTTCCAAGCTGAAATTACACTGTCAGATATGTTCGTTTGTCATTTCTACGAATCTTGATATTCTTTTCCATTTTTGTCTAACATTAGCTTATATGAGTTGCCAATAAGGAAATACACAATCTTCGTGTTATGAATTGTCTGACGATTTTGCAATTCAAATTCAGTTTTGTCTGCACATGGGTAATATCTTGATAGCCCCTACAAGAAATGATATATACAGAAAGACGACCTGATTACCATGATTTACGATGTCATGTCTGGTAATGAGCTGCCAACATGAAATATTCCACCAGAAGATACAAATGATGGATAAATCAGGAAATAGATATTCTGAAAAAAAAGAAAGATACTTTGATTAAAAGTAACGAAACACGAAAACAAATAGGTAAAATGCTGGTTTATTTGAGCCTGTTTAAGAAAGATATAGGAAAGTTCAATGTATCTTATGCCCCCCAGCACCTGTTTAAGCAGTATTCAATCTATGTTTTTAAAGAACCAGAAAAATATGCAGGGAGACAAAGTTCATGTAAAGTAAATAGTTTGGTTGAAATGTCAGTAATATGCATCATAATGTATAAGTGAAAATAGAATGTTTTTATCAAAAATATATTTTTTTCCATTTTACTTGAAATACCATACAAGGTTATTAGTTCTGATGCGTGAATAAAACAATGTATCGTATTAATTATATATAATCTTGAATTTGAGATTATTTATCTTAGTTTATAGTTTTTCACATTTATTTATCTAGGGTCTTAGTTTTTCCACGTTTAATTATCTATTTTATAATTTTCATGTTCTATAAACTTCTTTTGGGACTCTATTTTATGATGAAAAATTTGCCATGTTGTATTACATTTTGATTGATTTTCGCCGGGGTAACCTACAAGCTTTTTTTTATATAGTCCATGCATATATTTATAGCCATATGCATGTACGGTATTTCTGTTTGCTTTTTTTCTTTTCTTCCAAAAATATGCTAGAGGTATACTTTTCATTAAAGGCCAATTATGCCCGAAAAACGCTCTTAATTTCATTAGTCAAAAGCATATTATATTTGCTGTTCTATCTTAACAGATTTTTGACCACCTTAATGGACCATCTTTTGCTTTTATTGCTCTTTGGTAATTAGTACAGTTTTAGTGATTTATTGTGTCAAATTAAATTTTGCTAATTCTATGTGAAAAAAATCAGCACTTCATTCTTCAGACTATAAGCATCTAAAATGCTCTGAAACCATTACTTAACCTTTAAAATAGATAAACACAGAATCCCTAAAGAAAGCCCAACACGGCAAAATTGAAAATGTTGCAGGCTCGGTTTGATTGAGCCTGTTCATGGACGGTACTGGAAAGTGCAAGTTACCGTCCACGCCCCCTAGCACCGGCTTAAGCAGAATTCAACATTTAAACGTGAAATAGTAAAATTTTGAATTTAGAAACATCCGCAGATGTGTTCATACGGCGGTTATCATGGAACCTTCAATGTGACACGTAAGTGCCATTCCATGAAAAGCGGCGTATGGTCCCCAAGTAATAAAATGCGTGTGCCCTAAACGAGAAAACATTGGGCGGAACTAAATATAATGGAATTTTGAAAGGGGATCAGAGGTTTAGAAGCCTGCGTATCACAGATAAGACGTCAAAAGACAAATTTAAAAAGCAGGCAACATATCCTAAGGGTGATTCAACATTATTCAAGTAGGAATATTGGAACCACCCAACTAGAAAATGCCGAAAAGTTGAAACAAAAAATACCAAAAGCATAACAATAATGTCGTGCTGAACAATCTTCAAGGATAAAAAATATAACATCATTGATTAAATGTACGGGGAGACTTTTTACAGCCGCCACACGGCACAAACAACACGGATGTGATCATAAAATAGATAAACACAAAATCCCTAAAGAAAGCCCAACACGGCAAAATTGAAAATGTTGCAGGCTCGGTTTGATTGAGCCTGTTCATGGACGGTACTGGAAAGTGCAAATTACCGTCCACGCCCCCTAGCACCGGCTTAAGCAGAATTCAACATTTAAACGTGAAATAGTAAACTTTTGAATTTAGAAACATCCGCAGATGTGTTCATACGGCGGTTATCATGGAACCTTCAATGTGACACGTAAGTGCCATTCCATGAAAAGCGGCGTATGGTCCCCAAGTAATAAAATGCGTGTGCCCTAAACGAGAAAAACAATGGGCGGAACTAAATAAAATGGAATTTTGAAAGGGGATCAGAGGTTATTAAACCCATCTTTGCCCTTTCCATAGAGGAAAAAAATGTTTCTGAGGTATATTGTGCCTATAAAACATTGAATAATAATATTTTTTTCTGAAACAGTTTATCATCTGCTATGTAAATATATGTGATATCGGATCATGTATCTCACACTTGCAAACAACATCACCTGGTATGTTGTTATGTCTGATACTTAAATGTTAACTGAGCAGTTATTTACTTTGTCATAAAGGTAGCAAAATGTAAACAAAGTAGTATTTGACATCCATACATAAAACTAAATCATTACTATTGTACTAATTGTAAAAAAAGCAACAGATGAAGAAAAAATTGATATTTAACCACTGAGTAATTTTTTGGATACTTATAAAAGTACATCACTAATAAAAAGCTTTTGAGGAGTAAGAGTATGAGTATATCTGAATAATTATGGGCCTTTCAATTTATATTCATTTACAAACTAGGTTCATTAAACCGAAAGAAAGATAAAGGTGCATGTAATGATAAACACTAGTTTTAAATTTAGGTCAGTTTTACTGCATAGCTACATATATGTGGTAATATGGATCACGTGATAAGATTATATATCTTACATGTACAGTTGAGTTAATAAACAAGGTAAGTGCTTTTGGTTTTCTTATTAATAAAATTATAATACTGCACGTTTGTAACGTCGCTTTTCATTGAATAATCGTGACGTTTATATAGTATAATATACAGGGCTGCTGTCAATTTTTGCAGAAATCTCACTTTTTTCTTTAAAACAGGAAGTCAAGTCTGCAGTATTCTTAATTCGTTATAAATATTCCTGACGGGTTAAACTTTAGATTAACAGCAGCCGAATATATAAATAGCCGAATATATAAAAAATTAAACGTTATAGTTGAAAGCGTCTTTACAAACTGTTATTAGTTACTTAAGTAGATGTGATGCTGCAAATCTCTGAAGGTCTAAAGATGGCTATGATTATCATCATCATAACGTAAAAAATAAAAAAAACAACACTAAAATGCACCCCAAACACACACAAATCAATAAAATATAGAGCTACCTCAACACAGGGAGACAAAAGATTTTAGTTGAGAGGGGTCTTACTTTGGGAAGAATTGTAAACAAACAGGTTTATTGGCTGTGCAGTATCAAAGTAAATAACAACGAGTACAATGAAATTGAAAACTAATAAGCAAAAAGTTCTTGACGTCACAATAAAAACTTGTACAAAACTTAATTAAAATGATATCTATTTTTTGATAATTTATTAACATTATTATGTTTTACATAATGATGATGATGATGATGATGATGATGATGATGATGATGATGATGATGATGCTAATAATGATAATAATAATAATAATTGCAGATTTAATCTTTTCAGGATATTGGGCCATCTATTTTATGAAAAGCGACTATGTTGGTTGACGTCTTTGCATCCGGGTCATTATTAGCTACAGTGACTATTGGTCTCGTAACTTGCCTGTTTGTTTATTGGTTAATAAAAAGATGGAAATACAACTTACCGCCATCGCCACCCGGATTACCTCTCTTTGGAAATGCTTTCCGTATGTTAATATTTATTGGTTTATACAGAATTTATTTTAGTTCGATTGTGTAGGAAGCTATAAGCATATAGGCACATTTTCGAATCCGTTCCTGGAAGCAACCAGCAATGAGTGTAAAGTGTCTTGCTCAAGGAAACAACGACTTGTTTCTTTGTTGACATATTTAATAAAGACACTTAAAGGTCATTTAAACCATATACATTGTAACTATTTAACATCACTTCTATTTTGCCTCTTGCTTTATTCTTTCAAAATTTTCCATTTCATAGCTTATGTTCAATATACCATTAACTATCATTCTTGTTTAGAAAATGAATTATTTGGAATAAAAAATTACGTAGCCCATGATGAATTTCCTATATTTCTGTTAACTAGAATATATCCATTTCCAAGGTATCACTAATGTAAAATTCTTGAACATTTCCTTATCCGATAATGAAAATAATATCAAGATGAAATCAGTATTATAATATGTAAAATTACAAACTAAAAGCATGATGTCTTATCTAGAAATAAGTATGACGAATTTACACGAGCAAGCGTTTGAATGGTCGAAGAAGTATGGACCTGTGATTACCGTGCGAATAGGTATGATTTTTCTATTATAGTAAAACATACTTAAGCTAGCATACCAAGATATTAATGTTTGATTTTAATGAAAACATAAAACAGTGTTCATACTTAAGTAAAAATGTATTTATAAAGTGATTTTACCAATGCATGACACAAAATAAATTATATTTGCATGAATTATCTCTAAGAAATTATATACGCATAGATTACCTGTTTATACATGTATAGGCATAGATTAATGTTTACATGAAATCATTACTAACAGTGGATGTTTATATTGAATAATATAATATAATAATTATGTTTTAAAATGATATGGCGTAACAAGTCTTTTTCTTTAGATACAGCACGTTTTACAATAATATGGTTTTATTAAAAGTAATAACATTAAAAATTATTTTGTTAAATGCATTCATTATTAACTTGTCGTTTCTTTCAAGGACCAATGCCGTTTATAATAGTAAACAAGATTGAACCAGCGTTAGAAGTGCTTGTAACAAAGTCTACAGACTTTGCAGGTCGCATGATAACACCATCAGGTATGTAAGGCATTTTGTTATGTTTAATTGTAATAATCCAATAAAGTTTCAAGTATATGCTATTGATATTAAAAGTTATGATGTTAAATACCACGAAATCTGCGACCTGAAAAACATTTTTATTGTCGAGTTCACAGCAAAATCCGTATTATAATAATTAATTAGCATATAGCAAAAAAAACAAAAACATTTACTATGCTTGAATTAAAAGTGTACTATACATCTTAAAGTTGTTACATTTGCCTTAATGTCACGTGTTATATAATGTTGTTATGTAAGCATAAAATCTGTCATCTTTCTAACCCTCACTTCAGTGTTTCCTTTTGGCTTTCCTTTAGATAATATTTTTCTCAGGTTTGGTAATACGCCATTGAAACAAATTATAGCAATTCCTATGTATACTTATTGCCCACCCCTGTTCGCCGATTGTTGTTCCCCCTCTATAAGGGGGGGGGGGCATTTAGTTTTACCCTTGTCCGTCCGTCCGTTCGTCCATCCGTCCGTCCGTCTGTTCTCTTTTTTGTGTCGCATGTAACTCAAAAAGTTTTGACCTAGAGTCATGAAACCTTACAGGAATGTTGATCAGCATGTGAAGTTGTGCACCTGGGTATTTAGATATATTTAGTATTTTTAGAGTTATTGCCTTTGAATCAGAAAAAAATCCAATTTTCAACTTGTGTCGCACGTAACTTAAAAAAGTAATTGACCTAGAGTCATGAAACCTTACAAGAATGTTGCTCAGCATGTGTAATTGTGCACCTGGGTATTTTCGTGTGAATTAGCATTTTTAGAGTTATTGCCCTTGACTTAGTAAAAGTTTGCAATTTTAACTTGTGTCGCACATAACTAAAATAATATTTGACCTAGAGTCATGAAACCTTACAAGGACGTTGCTCAGCATGTGTATTTGTGTACCTTGGTATTTACGTGTTGATTATTTTAGTATTTTAGAGTTATTGCCCTTGACTTATTAAAAATTTGCAATTTTCAACTTGTTTCGCACTTAATTTTCAACTTGTTTCGCACTTAACTCAAAAATATTAGACCTAGAGTCATGAAACCTTACAAGAATGTTGCTCAGCATGTGTAGTTGTGCACTTGGGTATTTTTGTGTGGATATTTATAGTATTTTAGAGTTATTGCCCTTGACTTAGTGAAAATTTGCAATTTTCAACTTGTGTCGCACATAACTAAAAAATATATGACCTAGAGTCATGAAACCTTACAGGAATCGTGATCAGCATGTGTTGTTGTGCAGCTGGGTATTTTCGTTTGGAAATATTTAGTATTTTAAGAGTAATTGCCCTTGAATTAGTAAAAATTTCCAATTTTCAACTTGTGTCGCACGTTACTGAAAAAGTATTTGACCTAGAGTCATGAATCCTTACAGGAATGATGCTCAGCATGTGTAGTTGTACATCTGGGTATTTTTGTGTCGATATCTTTAGTAATTTTAGAGTTATTGCCCTTAAATTAGTAAAATTTACAATATTCAACTTGTGTTGCACGTAACTCAAAAAGTATTTGACCTGAAGGCCTGAAAGTTTACAAGAATGTTGATCCGCATGTGGACTTATGCACCTTGGGGTTTTCTTGTGGATTTATTCAGTATTTGTAGTGTTTGCCCTTTACTTAATGTAAGATTTTTAGTTTTCAACTTGGGCTCATGTAGCCAAAAAAGAAAAAAAAAATGACCTAGAGACATAATCGGTCGAATGTGTGGGGCACCCGTGTCCTATGGACATTTCTAGTTTTTATTTTGCTATGCAAGAGACTTTATGTTTAGTCTCTATCCATATACACAACAAGATGATATTATAGCATTCAATATAGCAAGCTCGATAATTATGGGGATGTAATTAACAAACTCCGTGTGATCTTGGGTCATAGAAATCTTTTGCCGTCTTTACTAAAACAATTAAACTTTTTATCAAAAGAAGTTACGACCCTACTATTTTAAGAAATACCGCATGCCTAGTGTTCAACCCATTTACAGTTAGACACTACGCTTTCTTCTCTGATTACATATAACGGACCAAGTTGGAGACTATGATAGACAGTTCTTAAAACCCAACGGGACTGAATTGTCTTAATTTTCGTCTTTTGCCTTGTTTCGTCGGACCCTTGTATGTGACATTTTTGCTGCTCTGTCTTCCTGAAGGACATTGAGTACTTTTGGTATGGTCATTGGATTTTGCCCGTGTGCCCTGCCCTGTCGGGTGTCCTTCTGGGCTCCTTTACGGTGGTCCTGCGTTCACTGAATGCTGTACTTTCTTGTTTATCTTGATTTTCATATTTCATACTCTTTAATTAACACTATGTTCTTCTCCGATTGTCCAATACCATTGTCATGACTTCTCAGATATATGTTTTTTTATCTATTGTTACCAGTTAATGAACTGACATTCGGAGGAAAGGACATTGCTTTCGACAATTATCGCCCTTCATGGGTGTTTCGACGAAGTATTGCAGCAAAAGCTATAAGGTAATTTTGTCATATTCAAAATATTAAGGTGTCCTAAAACAGGAAACACTTTATGTCATATTTTTCTTCTAACAAAAGGGGACCCCAAATTCTTATCACTTTTTCTATTTAAACTTAAAAAGGACCTCAAAGTGTCAACGTCACCTTAAATAACAACAACGCCATTGACATGTCGTTTTTGATAAGTGATAAATATAATCTTCATACATTTCTGATGTTAAAAATTGTACATGTACTTTCGCAAGAACGCTTCAGGTTTACATCACTAGTAACGAATGAAAAAACTTGCATCGTATGTCTTTAGTCTATGAGTATAGTATAAGTTTGCAATCTTTTTTATCAGGCATTACATGCAAGGCACTGCACTAGAGACGATGATCCATGACGTCGTCAAAACAGTATTCGAAGAAGTAGACGCCATTGCTGGAGAATTTGATCCGCATGATTATATTAACTTTATCGTAGGAAACATGTTGACTAGTTTATGCTTTGGTGGAAAGTAAGATATATAATATATTATGATCAATTGGTGACGGATATTATGCAAACACATTTTGACAATATGATGAGCGTACATTAAGTTATTGATACTAAAAGTCAGAAATCGTTAAAAAATTGTCAAATTACGACGATGGCAATATCATTTTGATATTTTTGTCGTATCTGAACCACAACTCATTTGCTGTTTGCAATTAAAAGTTGTACGACTTTCTGACTGTTCGTTCTAACAAAACAAACAAACAAAAAAACAAAAAAAAAAACGTAAGAAAGTAATTGCTATCGAAATAGAGAAAAACTGAATCCCTAAAGAACTCCATAAACGACAACATTGAAAAATATTCATAAGTTATGCAAGTTGATTTAATACGTATAAACATTTGTTTTATTTACAAACTGGTTCGTTTTTGACACCAGTCATTCTTTGAAGTAAAATTATTTCACCTTGTTATAAAACATAGTCCTTCATAATGTCGTATGTACTTGAACCTTTAATGCAAAATTGAACATGTTTAAGCTTTGTTTGAATGCCCTATTGATTAACATCCTTCAGCACCGGCTTGAGCAGAACTCTCACTTAAATATGAAATATTGTTAAATATGAAATTAAAAAAAAACAAAACAAAAAAAACATTCGCAGATATGTTCATATATAGCGTAAAATGTACATCTTGCAGATATGCATTCAAAGACCACGAAGTATCTGAAGTCATGGATAAACGAGACAAATTCATTGAAATATATGGTATAGGTCCATGGGAAGACTTTATTCCAGGTCTCAAGTATGTGTACAAAACAAAAGGTTTCCAACTCTTAGAGGATTTTACAGACGATATGATGAATCGCTTTATAAGACGAAAACTAAAATTGGTTCAGTCAACATTTGATAAAGGTTAGTCACTTAGAGGGATGTTGCACTTTTTCATTATCCCTCATGTACAGATTCAATCAAACCGAGTCTGCAATTTTCATGTAATTTTGCTGTTTTTAATGCTTCTGAGGAATAACTTTTTACCAGATATTTATACACCACAACAGCAGGTGTCAAGTGTTGTGTGTTGTGTGGCAGCCGTAAAAAGTTGCCCCGTACTTCACTTCAGTGTTGTCCTTCGGTAACATTGAGTCCAGCACTTTTAAGTGTTGAGAATTGAGTACCTCTTAAGCCTGTGCTAGGGGGCTTGAGGGGTGTTGCACTTTTTCATTATCCCTCATGTACTGACTCAATCGAAACGAGTCTGCAATTTTCATGTAATTACGCTGTTTTTAATGCTTCCGAGGGATCAATTTTTCTCCCGGTTATTAGTCACTTCACCTCCATCATTTAAATAATTATATCATAATTTATACTCTCCATAGCACCAGTTGAATATTTCACTACCATTCAGTCACTTTTGTTTCGGTCTTACTTTGGAGTAAAGGTTATTTTTTAATTGACATGATAAAGGAGCGTAATATACGTGGGTTGTCCGGAAAGTTTGGACCTTTTCCCGAGAATGAATCGGGAATATCACGGTAAAAAGGTAGTACATAACAAAAAACAAAAAAAAATAGTACAGTTATACCGAAGTATATATAAAAGTCTTTTTCCATCCCCCCTCCCCATGAAAGATTCAATCAATCGAGTCTGCAATTTTTATGTAATTTTGTTTTCATTCCTTGCGAGGGCCTCTTTTCCAGATTTTAGATAATTGATAACAGTCCAGCTTAAGTATTAAAGAATAGTGCATTGTATTTGATATAACAATCATTTAAATTTGTTTTTGGGGAACTGTTGCCATACCAATGATAAATATACTGTTTAAGTTAAAGGTGTTTCTATATCTTGCATTATCTTACAAACATTGTCACATTTATTACTGTTATAGATAACATTCGTCACGTCGGAGACTCTCTTCTTTTTGCAAGACTCGAGGCAGAAGAGGAAAACCCTGAACTGGTACAAGATGAGTTGACTGACGACCATCTGGTCCAAATCATAGCCGATGTATTCTTTGGTTTGTAATAATTTTCAGTGACGTTCGTGTTGAGTTGAAACACTCATAAAGTCGTCAAAAACAGTCTGTTTAATTTACTGTTGGCACAAATAGGCATTAAGATAGTTTACCATATATCATGTTTTTTTCATGAAACAATGCTCTCTATGTGAAAATTTTAAATACCATGAAATGTTTCAACCTGACACTATTGTTTCTCAAATATAAAAAGACACTAAAATGATGCTTTCAAACTATGGTGTTTCTTTCAATTTCTAGTTAAATCATCTTGTCGATTTCTTTATCGATTATATCGCGCTTTGCATTACAAATGGAAGCAATTTAATTGTACTGTATAATCATGGGACACTAACAGTTGAAGGAAAAGAAAAAAAGCAGGTCATATGGTAGTATGTAAGTTATATAATCACCAACATTTTCCCCCTTTTAAGTCAGTATACACGTATATCTCTTATGTTAACTGTTTTTCTACATGGTTTCAGTTTTAATTTAAACGGAAAGGAAATAAAGTGACAAAAAGCATAACCAGTTACTTCCCACACAATTATTTTTTATTATTGCAGCCGGTGCAGACACGTTGAGGATAACATTAAAGAGTGTTTTACTACACATGGTTGCTTTCCAAGATATACAGAATAAAGTTCAGGACGAGATTGACAGAGTTGTAGGTATAAGAAAAAATGTTGACATTTTGCGATGTATTGGAACACATATGAAATTTGAGTTTAGAATCTACAAAAGCATATTGTCTTTATAATTAGAATTTACACATAGATCTTTTAAATTAAAGACGGCTTGACAATGTTTCGAAATGATTTTAAAATTTATAAAATCATTCATTATTCACGGCATCACTGTTTGTTTTGATATCTTTCGAAATTTAAATAACATGTATGTGTAGTTGTGGGTTTATTATTTTCTAATTTATCTCTGTTACCATTTTTGTACGTTTTAAAAAGTCCCCTACAAGTATTATCGCAAGGATTACAAGTTTAATCTCCGTCCGTTCGACATTTCATCCGTCCAAAGAAAAAATAAATAAATTGACTATACAGTATGGACAAAAATAATAAATGATTCAGTATAGTTTTAGAAAAAATATTAGTAGAGAAACGTTAACTTACTAAAATTATTTTACAAAATGGTTTATTAAAGGTATTGAATCATGATCGTGATACTTAGTTTTTGAATAGAGGACTGACTTTATGGAGTTGATACACTTTGTTTCATTTTTGTCAAGACCGTCCTCTTATCTATCATTCCGTCCGTCCGATGAAATCTGCTACTGTTATTAAAGCTAGGTTGATGCTGATAAGTATGTAAATAGAAGATCATATGTAGATTATGCAAATTATTTTTGTCAGCCAATCGTTATTTATTCTGCCAGACCGATTGTCCGAAGAAATTTCTGCTATAATTCGAAAATTTAAAAGCTATGTTGATGATACTAAATATGTTATAAAAAGGGCATTGTGGATATTATGCACTTCCTTGCGGAGAAAAAAGGCGGTCGATATGGTTAAGGAAGCAGTAAATAATGGAATTCCATACATAACCGACATCCGTTATTACTCTAAAATATTATGTAAAAATATTTAAATTTCTTTTAAATCCTTTAAATTGCTCAATCATGATTCCAATCCTGTAATTAGGTGTCAACTCTAAAACGTTCTTAAAAATTCAATTTCCGCATTTATATTGGTATAAAAAGGGAATAAGACAACATTAAACAGGAAGTGCCTGTTTACTTTGAAATACCATTAACTATGTTTAATAATTCTTATTCAAATATTCAGGGAAGGATCGTCTTCCATCATTGAAAGATAGACCGAAACTTTGCTATTCGGAAGCTGTCCTTCATGAGAGCATGCGTCTTGCTTCAGTAATACCATTGGGCATACAGCGCATGACCTTATGTGATACCAGTATTGGTGAGTTTTCCACCTTTTGTGACTACTAACTTTTTTATATATATATTCGCGCACAATGGTTTCACCTACATATTGTTCTAGACTAGTCTTTAGACGTGAATTATCTGTTATATGCATGTAGTACCTATACATAGTACGTATCTTTAATTTTGAATTAGGGTGACAACAATGGCAAGGAAATTGCGTAGAGTGAAAGTTTCCGCACGACTGTTAAAGAATTTTGATATTACAAAAGTCACCCAAACATACAATTTGTTTACAGTGTATGTTTTTTTTTTAATTCACTTCACTTATCATCATTTATTTTATGTAGGTAATTACAAGATTCCAAAAGGAACAATGGTTGCTGTAAATTTATGGGGTTTGCATCATGATCCAGAATTATGGGAAGATGTACACCGCTTCAAACCAGAAAGATTTTTGGACGAACACGGACAACTTTGTCTAAAGCCTAAGCATTGGTTGCCATTTTCCGCTGGTCTAAGAAGTTGTCTCGGAGAGTTTGTAGCAAAACCGAACCTGCTTTTAATATTTGCCAGCCTTTTGCAACGGTATAAATGGAAGATGGTTGAAGGGAAGTGTGCAGACTTTACACGTGTTGGCGCCGCTTTTGGACTTTCATATAAACCATACAAAGTCATAACTGAAAGACGAGTTTAGGCGTCATTCATGTTTGAAAGTGTAGCTCTCTCTATAATGGTTTATACACATGACTTTGATAGAAACATTATTTACATGTATTTGACATTGATATTCATCATGAGCATTATTGAAGAAAAAAACATTAAAGAAATAGTGCGAAAATAATGCACACGGTTGATGTGGATACCTTTGAATTGATGAGATTAAACTATTGTCTTGTAATTGATAAATTTCTATTTGCTGTTTAGTCGGAAAAAACTTGTAAAATGAGAGCGTTTTTGCTGTTTAGAGGGCTTTTGTACACTGTACATGTTTATATATGTTAAACATATATGAGACAGTGCTAGATAAATCGAGCATATGCTATTTTCGGAAGTCTTTGATAAATACAATAATGTCAACACATAGTATTTACAAATAGCAGATGCATATACCTCAGACCTTTGCGACACTACTAGTGTCAACTAGTACTAAAAGGAAGCAGATAAAATTTGGTTTAGGTAAGTTGTATGAGGAAACTGGTGTTACTTCGGTACATCATCGAAGAAATCGGCGTTACTTTGTAAGAAATTATCAGTCATATTTTACCTCCTATTTTCAGTGTAATATGACACGAGTAGTTTGGCAATGCAATGTCTGAGGTATACCGAATCAAAAACAAAACAATAATGTATCATATATACTTTATTCTATATCGACAGAACACAAGGCTCGCCTTCAAAACGCTAGCCAGGTCGTCATTCATACTAATGAACGGGAGAAACAAACACTGTCCTGCAGATATTTGTATGACATTTAAAATGGAATGTCTCAGCAATCGTATGCGCTCATTCAATTCTTCCCATTTAAATTATTATTATATGTATTATCTTAATTACATATCACGGTGCTCGTTTCGGCTATAGATTTTAACAAAGAAATAGAAAGCATCAAAACACGAGGCTATCTGATTTGTATGAGGGGACGTAGCCCACGAGTATAAATCTGATTGCCGAGTGCTTCGATGTTCTTTCTCTCTTGTATCACAGTTAAACATAAAAAATACCCGTTCCCTGTTGTCCAGAAAAAGTAACCAATAAATGAGCATCTGAATATGATATTTCTATCGTTTACCCTTTCTTTGTCCCTACAATAAGTAAATTTCAGCAAAAATGAGCCAATCAATAAGCATGCTCTGGAGTGCTGCACACTCGTTGACGCACTGTGCATGAATACATTATATACGATTTAACCCTGACACATAATAACCTCGGAAACAATACGGAGTGAAAGTAGTTCTACCGCGTGGTTTCAGATGTAAACAGAAACAGAGATAATGTAAAACGAACGTATAAATTTGACATCCAAAAGAAAAGTAAAGTCTGTCTGGTACACTTATGATTGAAAATATGTCTTACAACAATTTGTAATTTACATATGCCCTCTATTGTACAATTTTAAACAAATCCGACTTAATGTCAACAGATTGGCTGTTTGTACTTTCGGTTTCTACAACCATAATTATAAATATAGAAATAATGTATTGTTTGCCTTTGTAGCTATATGAATTTACTTATTTTAGGTGGACTTTTACAACAAATATTTGAAATAAACTTGTCAACAACTTCCAGTATTAAATTACTATTTGTTTACATGATTAGTTTCTTAACGTAGGTTAGACCGAAATACCGCATCCGTTCTGTGCATTCATACTATTAAGTTCGAGGTCCTGACAGAAAGGGCCGAGTCGTTTTAAATTTTTACATGCTATTACCAATGCTGATAATTGATCAGTAGGAGCTAGACTTGTCCATAAAAAATTTAGGAGGCTAATGGCTAATTGAAGATATTAATTGAGAAAAATAATAGAAACAAGTATCACGAAGTGAAAAATTCAAAATACTAAGGGATATGTGGTTTAATTGTTACTTTCTCGCACATTCTTATAACCCGGGCGAATTACGTGAGTGTGCGTAAATACGAAACTTCTTATCCGAAGTAAACGGGAAAAGTTGATGTTTTACGATTTCGAATGTTTAAAGTTGTGCTTAACTGCTTTTCTGTCGCATATTTGGACCAATGCCGCATATGAGTTAAAAGATATATATGCGTAGAACAGCTTTAAAATGATTAAATAATGGAACATGTACTTTAAAAAATATTTATGAAGGTCTTTTACCAAAACAATTTCAAACAGGTAGATAATTGGACATTATGGACCAAATTTTAGGACGCTATAATAACCTTCATTGACATTGAAACTAAATATAAACTGTAGTAGGTAAATAAATAATATTCGTACGATTGACGATTGACCTACTTTACCTCCGGTTTTCTTGTCATTGAATTTGACATCAATTTCCATTTCATTTAAATTCATTTAAAAAGATTTCAAAAAATAAAATGTATAGGTATGTGAATCGAAGCGTTAAAAAGATCTATTAGAACGGGCGGATCGATGTGTACCCTCAAATTATAGAGATGATTTTCTTTTTAAAACATTTCATGATATTTTAAAGTATGTAACGTTTTAATTACCCAAATATTATTATGGCAAAAAATATAGAATAATATATACTGAACGTTTAATGAATATGCACCTTTAATAGTCATTAAAATATGAATATTCCTTTATCATTTGATTATTTCCTATTTTTCCAAAGACTTTAAAACCACGTGACTTTACACTATCACCTGCATTAACATAATGTAAATAAATGAGCGGACAAATAAAACAGTAAAAATTATAATAATAATTTGTTTAATTTAGAGCTATTAAATCTAATTATACCTCTACCGGTTTCACAATATCGTCAGGAGGATAATGAAAATGGTTATATTGAAATAACTTTAAATTATGAGGCCCCTTTGTAAGACTTAGACTTATGTACATGACATTATTTAAGAAGACGCGTATATTTTTAATTTGTTATTGTTATACAAAGGTATTTTACCCTAACAACAGAAACTGGCTAACATATACCTATATATGAGCCGCGTCACGACAAAACCTACATAGCGCGTTTGCGACCAGCAGGGATTCAGACCTGCCTGCGCATCCGCGCAGTCTGATCAGGATCCATGCTGTTCGCTATCAGTTTCTGTACTTGTAATAGGGTTGGTAAGCGAACATCGTGGATCCTGATCAGACTGCGCGGATGCGCAGGCTGGTCTGGATCCATACTGGTCGCAAACCCATTATGTTGGTTTTGTCATGACGCGGCTCATATAGATATTGTCTTTAATTTGAACTACTTTTTTCTTAAGTACAGCAATCAATTTTAATTACTGTCACTGACTTATAAATAACCCATGTTTTCAATTTTGTTTTTGACATGACTGGACGCAATAAATCAACGTATGTAATAGCTCTAATAATTATCAGGTGACATCTTGAATACCTGATCCGTTAATATTTCACAATCTTAGGTAGTTGAAACCTACTTAAAAATCTTTAAAGGGGTCTGTAAGTTGACCTAACCCTATACAATTCCTCCCAAAGAATTATCAAATTCACTTCTTTACATGAATAATGACATCCTAAATTACTAAGAGTCTTTTATCCTAACTGCTATTGAATATTTACAATAGAAAATCGCGCTGATCGCGCTGATTGATATTCGGGAGCTTACTTGAAAGTTTATTGTTGTAAAGATATTTTTTCACCTAGAGGTTACGAACTGAAATAGAATATTATTGACACTACTTTACGTTTTAGTCAATGGTGAACCTCCCTGTATTGTCCTAATTTGGTTCACAAGCTAGTACAAGGCCTATCTTAATTATAATAAGTATTGGTTTGAGGTAAATGATTTATTGAGATATACTCTTTAAATAAAACCTTTTCATTCTTTTTTAAAAACTAATTATTCAGCTATATTTGAGATGAGTTATAAGTGTTATAAAGATTTAGGTAGACGAAAACCGCATAGATGAAGTTTATCAAAAAAAAAGATTGAGATGAAAGAAATGTGAAATTTGATTTCTCGATTAGTAATAGCAATTATAAATAACAGCACAGAAAGGAAAAAAATGACTATACTTGCAGCCGTATATTTGAAAACATATTACGTCAGAAGAGTTATCTATATCCATAGATTATTTTGTGATATCATTTGTAGTGTCACGTGACATTCACATGGCAGCCATCAGTCTATAGTATGCATCCAATAATTTCAGTATACAGAGCAGTGCTTCCATTAATTTCATTACTTTGGAAATCAGAGAATGCAAAACGTCTGATATTGGAAATCACACTGTAGTATAAGTAAAGACGGAAAACATTATATTTTGGAAGTCACAAAACAAAATCAAGAATACATGATTCCAAAACTTCCACTTTAGGAAGCGAGACGTCTAGGGTTCAAATCCCATTTAGGCAACTCATGTTTTTTTTGTTTTTTTTTTAAAGTTTTTAAGCCAAATAAACATTGATATGAATATCAGTGTTGCAATTAGCGTTATAGCTAATTTACTACAGTAATAACACTGGAAAACAGCATTGGTGGCACTATACAAAAACAAATTGGTTTATTATCTCACAACCTTCACATTTCTGAAATTCTGAGACCCAAACAAACCTAGCGCCTTTTGTGCTTTTATTGTAGTTTGTAGTCTTGATCACTTAGAATTCAAAAGAGCACAGTTCAACTGCATTGTTCCTGGGCAAGTTGTTAACCATTTTACTCCTCCTACTGCCTCTTTCGCAAGGAACTTGTATTACTTTATGCAAGAGCAGAAGTAGAGCGCGAATGACCGTAGAAATGTGGTTCCAGGGTCAAATACAACGAAAGTAACAGAGAGTTATTAGTTTTTATATTTGCTACTTTACCTACACCTTGAACACAATCATAAGTAATGCAATTTGTATCTATTTAAACTATAACTTAAACGTATTTAAGTGTTAGTCGATGTTACATGTACAAAAAATTAATTAGGTATATGCAAAAGCCTTAAGGATTAACGTATAATTTAAGCCATCGACAATCCGGACAATGAACATAACGTGCTGCCATAGACACCATCCATATTTTCTCCAAAAACATATTTATATAGGACTCCAATATCAGATTTGGATCACATTGATTTCATTTTCTTTGTGGGCACTTCGTTTCATAAAAAAAGATATTTCGACATCAAGATGCGTATTGTGTTGGCAGTTCTCGTACTTGCGCTTGTCGCAATTGCTGTTGCAAAACCATCGCAGTTTAATGTAAGTTTATTCTTCTTATTATTACATTTCATAATAGTTTCGATATAACGTTTGTGCCTGTTCTTTTCTGCTTTTTCTGCATGAAAGGATCTTTATGATTGTACTACAGAGGCACGATAACAATAACGATATTTTCATAAAATGTTTCATTTTTTTATGAAGACGTTTTGGTATTTTACATGACTTTTGTTATACAAAATTATAAATATGAAATATACAATTTTGTACTAGGTTGAAAGGAATTTAATTTCAAAGCTTGTGACATTATTTGGCATTAGCCAACCTTTAGTTTTAGTTTGTTGATGCAATTAACAACATACTGTACATGGTTGTGTGGTGATTATGAGTATTTATTAGAAATGTTTACTATCATAACTACCCGGATCGTAATTACGACGTCTATTTTTGGACGGGCTTTTAGTCATGTAAAGCTCTTTTACTTGCTGTTTGGTATGTTGAGAAATAAGTGAAGTTTTGTGTTTAAAATCTTAACTCTAGTGCGAGTTATTGCTATGAATGACTCTTTTTTAAAATTCAACAACTTATCTATGCCGCTATAATTTCTTCATTTCTCCTTTCAAAATTCCATTTCATTTAGATTCACTAATTAATTTTTCAATTAGCACACAGGCATTGTTTTTCTTGGGGACCATACGCCTCTTTTCTTGGAATGGCCCTAATGTGTCAAATTGACGGTTCCGTGATAACCTCCTAATATATTCATCACACGGATGTTACAAAATTCAAAATTTGACTTTTTCGCTTCTGTTAAAGCCGATGATATAGGGCGCGGGCGTTAGCTTGGACTTTCTAATACCGTCTGTGAACAGTCTCAATTAAACTTAGCCTGTATCACTTCAACTTTGCCATTTCGTGTGTTCTTTAGGGTTATCTATGAAATAAAGTGCTGAGACTTAAATTAAATATTCTTCTTCACCTTTTTTTTATTGAATCATAACAAAGAGAAAGATATAACGGAATGCGCATTATAGTGGTATATATTGTCAAAACATAAATGCATATTTAAAACCAATAAAGAAAAGAAAAGAATGCTGACCGAAAATGAATTTATTGAAACTATATCATGATAATTTTAAAGTGTGAGATTCTATAAGTAAACATCTATAAAAAAACCCTGCAAATGAATTCAATGGTGCTTTAAATTAATGTAAAATGGGATGATATAAACGGAGCAGAACGGTAAGGCGAAAAGAAAGGTGTATGTCAAGCATACGTCGTCAAAAATGACTTTATCCCCTATAATTACTGGCCACGATTTTTCCTCCAAATTATGCATTGTATTCTTCAGATCCTCTGATTGCAACCTATGTTTTGTTTTCTATCTTTCCTCTTTATATAATACAGTGTGCTTTTTATTTTATTCTAAAAATATATTTTTGCGATGTTAGGAAACTGAAAATTAGGCCAAGCAACATTAGAATCACGTGAAGGCACAAGTTTAATAGCTATAACTAGACACTATTTCAAGTTTAAAAACTTTTACTACTAAACTGCTTTTTATAAAATTAATAGATTAACAGAATTATCCCTTATCAAGGGTATATAATTCCAACAGCTCAAATTCTAATATAATCTATTTATATATCGAATTTATGTACCATTAACATTTTACTCTTATGGAATAATTAACAAAACCAGCGCCTTGACAAAACACATATAATGTTTTTTTTTGTGTTTATTTTTCAGCATAAAAAAGCGCTGAACAGTAAGTTATAACTTTATAAAATAGTTACCAAGATAGAATATAAAAAGTTAATATGTCCTTATAAGTAATTATGTCCTTTATAATAAGTTATATGTCCTTGTAATTTTTATAATATCATATGAGCCGCGTAACGACAAAACCAACATAATGGGTTTGCGACCAGCATGGATCAAAGCCAGCCTGCGCTTCCGTGCAGTCTGATCAGGATCCATGCTGTTCGCTATCAGTTTCTTGTTATACGGTTTGTCAGCAAACAGCATGGATCCTGATCAGACTGCGCGGATGCGCAGGCTGGTCTGGATCCATGCTGGTTGCAAACCCACAATGTCGGTTTTGTCATGACACGGCTCATATATTTTATTAGGATACGTTGGGGAGATTTTCATCACATCAATGGAACATTCACAAGCAGTATTCACGTGACAATTCCACATAAGTTTGATCAGTTAGTGGTGGCTTTACTACAAAACGTACCTCAATATAAGGTCTTTGTAACAGAGCATTTTTTCTTGTTACATGTATTTGTGTGGTCAGACAATGAAGATGGTACAAAAATGCTCGTCATGGACATCGCAATTTGTACAATAATTCGTTCATTTTTTTGTCGTGTACATTTGAGAAAAGTAAACCGATATATAACATCATAAAATGTATTTGATCTTTAAGTGCTCTATCCCCGCTCTCTTCTTTAAACACATTAAGAATACAAATATTGCAGTATAATTTTATACAAAATAAAAATTGACTTATTGTCAAGTCTAAACACACAAACATCGATACCATGAACCAAATTAAACATAAAACAATCGTATGTTTTCGAGTTAAGCACAAATAAATAATATAGTAGTTGATTTTCGGCCACTGTCGTCAGAAAGTACTAGATAGATCTGTAAAACCTTAACACTAATTGGTTTAATTGTAACTAAGTTAGAAGTGGAGGCTAGAGCACTAAACTATATTTGATCTTTTTTGTTAACTTAGAGCATCGCTCCACTTACGCGATGATTTGTAATCAATGTGTTACAACGATATTCAGGGGAACGCCAAAATTATATCAATATATCCGGTTATCGTTATATCCGGGAGGCAACTTATTTCTTTATAAACGGTATATGATAATAACCGATATTGTTATAAGCGGAGTTTCCTGTACGTTTCCATAAAAAATATATTTCTCTACATTTTAGATCGAGCTCTTTCGGAACGGATAAGTAAGTAGCTTTTGTTAAAAAAAATTAAAATAGTACAATATTTAGTGGTGCTTAATAATGAATTGAATGCTTAAAAATTGGAAAACCGCAGCGTTCGTGAATGAGTTCTTTTTAACATTCACAATATCAGCACTAAACTCTGATTTGGTTGGGTTTCGAGTCAGGCCAATAACTGTATATGAAATTTTATATAAGGTGTATATTTAAATAAACATGTACATGTTTTCCAGTGGGATTCGAATTCACGCAGATTAGGGACCATTGGTTCGGGGTTATTTGCCGTTACCAATCTGCAGCGATGCACCTTCAAAAGAGAATATACTAACATTTAAACTCGAATGCGAAAACGCATAACAAATAAAACAATAGTCCACATTTCTTTTTTCTTATACACGAATGTTTTACATTAATTATAAAACAATTTCTATCCTTTTTATAAGCCATTATTGTTTTTGTATGTCAACCTTTTCTACATTTCAGATGCCCTGAGGACGGCCCATTCTAGACGACAGGCCAAATTCGGACTTAAGAGAACGAATGGTAAATATATTGAATTCTTTGAGATGTATTTAACTATATATAAAACTATCATAAGAGTTTTGAAAAAAATACAATAAAAATACGTGTATGAAACTTTTTAAATTATTTTTTAATGATGGATGCACAAAATCTTTGTCAAACGGCTACAACCCTATCTAACACTGCAGCATAGTACTTTGTTATGGAACACTTTATTCTGTTTTTTTTATACCATATCAACGTCTCTTTTATAATAGAGCATTTTATTTTACAAAATTTGCGAGAATCAACCAATAGATTATAGAAACATTTACCGTTTATATATTATCTTATAAAACGTGTTCATTACATATAGCTTTATACTATTTGAGCCGCGTCATGACAAATCCAACATAATGGGTTTGCGACCAGCATGGATCCAGACCAGCCTGCGCATCGGCGCAGTCTGATCATGATCCATGCTGTTTGCTTACAAACCCTATTACAAGTAGAGAAACTGATAGCGAACATCATGGATCCTGCGCGAATGCGCAGGCTGGTCTGGATCCATCCTGGTCGCAAACCTATTATGTTGGTTTTGTCGTGACACGACTCATTTCATTCTACTTTTTACTATCCAATTCTACTTTGATATTATTTAAATTAAGTAAAACTGAATTTAAACATGTTTGTTCGCGAACTTGAACAAGATGATCCGAAAGTTTTATCATTTTAATCAATCAATTTCATATTACATTGGTTTCTTTAATAAAGATGTGTCTAAAACTTAGACTACAAAATTGTAAAAAAAAATTACTCATAAATAGAACTTTGGTCACAATTTATTATACATCCTTTTCATGTTTTACACCTGAATTACAGGGGAGAAAAATGAGTTAGCTTCATTACTTAAAAGAATACTCGGTGCTGGCAAACTACAAAGTTGGAAACGATCAGGTAAGAGGGTTGACGTCTGTCGGCATAATTTTAAGTATTTCAAATTTTAAATAACATAATATGATGAATTATTGAAATGAATTAATAGTATAAAAGGTCAGTTAGAAAAGATAAACATGGCAAACATGTAAAAGGCTCATATGGCTCTCAGAATTGCTTAATTTGTGTTAGATTTTCTATTTTGTTTTTAGGTCCTGTTATAGTTTCCAAAAATTACTAATTGGCCAATTACGGAGCCATCTTTTGCACCTATGACCCTTGCCAGTGAGTACAATTATAGTGTTAAAGAAGTATTTTCGGAAGTCAAAATACTTCTTTGTTCACAGTGCGATACTTTTATGGCAAATTAATACACAGGCTTTAAATCCATTTTTTTTTAAATGCCATAAAACTATTTTTTTGTCTTTTCTAAAGAAGGAAAAAATTCTTTTCTGAGGCATAATGTACCTTTTCAGTTAATATTAAAATTTTACGGCGCATTTTAATTACAAAACACCAAATATTTCCTTTTAAATTTGGGACGTGTAATGAATATTGATAGAAATATAAGGAAATACCAGTAGCGGTGACCAACTATTACAGTAAATGAAAGTCACGTGATCACCCGACCTGTTATCATCATGAAAAGAGATGTGTTAGATGATTTTCTCTCTTAATTTTAGTTCACTCATTGCAGTTCTTTCCAGTTCTTTGGATAATAGACAAGCGCCATAAAACAGTAAATAAATCTGAAAAATGTTACGAGCATACTTACCAATTGCTAGACTCGAATGAACGAATACATTTAACAAATAATCAGCAGACGAGAATGGCTTCAGTGTCTCTGCAAGTCAGACTTCCTGATACATAACATTTTCTCTCTTAGACGATATTTTCGATTAAAATAAAGTGCAGTGTATTTTTACCAATTTTAAATGCACGTGCAATGTAAAAAATAAGCGGTTACTTTTGGCGCGGATTTCAATTTTAATACGGCCCTTTGAATATAAAAATACTAGCACTCTGATAGAGCGTGTCGGGCACAGATTGTTGAATCTAATATAAAGTTCTAAAATTTCCTTTCTTTACTTTAGGAGATTCAGATAATTCTGGTTCATCGGGAGAAGATGACTGCTACAGCTCATGCAATGAATTATTCCCTGATGAAGAGGAGACATCACCCGACTACGGTTCGTAAATATTACATGCATATTGTCTTTCTGAAACATAGAGGATATTGAATGAGTGTAAGTTCAATGCACGAGTTGAATAAAATTATATAATGCGAGCTTCTGGCATGCATAATATTATTTTATTCAACGAGTTCAATAACTTACACGAATTCAATATTCTATTTATGTCATACCCAAATAAAGACCGATTAAATTAAATAAAAGTCGTTTTTCATTGACGCGCCTAAAGTATAACGCTAACATTTAGCGCGTCTTGACACTATGGTAATGACGTCACGTCAAAATATATGCACGGCCGTGCAATATCATTTTTACGGAGTCGCAAAATTGGCACAGGTGTGTGATATTTAAAATATTTATCATTATTCGTCAAACATACATATAACAGATAGTAGGAAAAAGAGGAAATTTGTTTAGTTCAGTGTAAGATCGGATAATATTTCTTCGAGTGATCAAAAAAAAAGTATATTTCACGAGTGGCGCATATAAGTAAGAAAATAGTACACTTCTTAAGATATTACGGCAAGCAGTTTGCCATCGATAAACATTTCCTTTCCTTTTTAAGCCAGACTCACATTATCTTACAGAATACTTGCAATAATTTTTATATAGACATATAAGCTGAATGAAAAAAACAACTCTTTTATAGATTCGATTCCTTTTAAATGTTTCTGTGGCCATTTTAAGATCATGCAAAGTATAGGTAAATACAATGAAAGTGTTTTCATTCTAAATATATTTTCTAAAGTGTAGAAAGAGCATTAACATCAAATCTTATAGCCGGCAAAAACCTAATTTTCATATTCAAATTCAAATATTAGTAACATGATGCAACATAATTACAATAGAAGGATCGCGCACTTGCAAGTTGCTCCGAATTTTTCGTCGACCCAAAATGCATGATAATTGTCGTTAATTGTTAATTTATATAATAAAACAAGTCAATATATATATATATATATATATATATATATATATATATATATATATATATATATATATATATATATATATATATATATATATATATATATATATATATATATATATATATATATATATATGTATATATATATATATATATATATATATATATATATATATATTTTTTCCTCATTATATTTCACTTCGTTTACGCAACTTTCTTTGTTATTGTTGATAAAACAGTCATCTATTTAAAACACTCAAATTATTGCTCCTTTTTAACAGGGCCTGTCTTGACATGTGCTGAACAGCAAGAGGATGCAGACATTCAGTTCTTTGAAGACATGTACGCAAGTAAGTTAAACAATATATTTGACATACTAATGTTATACAAATTCTATTGCTTTTTCCCGGTTTCAAACAAACGCTGCATATTCATAAACCGATTGGACCAGTGAACAGTTTCTGCACATGTTATAAAATAGAAACTTTGTTTGCCGTCATTTCTTATGTATGATTTTCATAACATTACGGCATATAGGCATATATCAGGGCTTTTGTAACCATTTTGTGGTGTCCGTGACTGAGTTAACATTTGTTAAGAGCGTTATCTTCTAACTACTTGCCCCTCACTGCTGTAGGTTCAAATCCCGCCAGGTATTTCTAATTTTGTGTAGGAGCTATACAGCTAATTTACGGAATATCGGCGGTTCTACTCAGCTGAGGTGCCCGTTCGTGGCTGAAATATTAATGCATGGATGGGCATCTGAGGTCTTTCTCAAACAGAAAGGCTAGAACGTTGCCCTATGACTTATACTGTCTTGGTTCGACCTAAACACCAGCAGAAAAGTGTTAATCTTCATTTTCCATATCAATGTAATTTTAAGAAACTATCAAAGGTAAATAAAGGTATTCAGGCTACATATATGTAAACGAAGGCAATACGGCCGTGGTCAAATCCATAACCAAACAGCCTGTTGTCATTCAACGACTTATTTGTAATAATTTGCACATTGTTATTCTTACATTTTCTAGAGTACGCTGGAGGGCAACTATTAACTTCTGACGAAAAAGATGCACTGGCTGAAGGTAGGATCATGCTCTAGATATGTATCATGCAATGTCTCTCATAAATAAAGTCCATTGATAATTGCAAGACTTATACACTTCGCTGTTTGAATAAAAAAAGGGATGACTAAAATGAGATGGTAAATCTAATTGACCATATACTAAAGTGGTTGAGCCTAACTAAAACTTTAAATTGATCTTTATGTACATGTGATATGATATTATATTTCTCTTATTGCAGCGGAAAATGCAGAACATGACATCGTAGGCTTTTTCTTGACTTATTTCATTCATGTAGCAGCCGGAGAGCGTTGGGATGGTAACTGTTACAATCTTTTTTTTAATAAAAAAAACATATGAGCCGCGTCATGACAAAACCAACATAGTGTGTTTGCGACCAGCATGGATCCAGACCAGCCTGCGCATCCGCGCAGTCTGATCAGGATCCATGCTGTTCGCTCACAAACCCTATAACATGTAGAGAAACTGATAGTTAACAGCATGGATCCTGATCATATTGCGCGGATGCGCAGACTGGTCTAATTCCATGCTGGTCGCAAACCCATTATGTTGGTTTTGTCGTGACGCGGATCATATAATTGTCAACATATTCATTGGTTCGTTTGAGTATTTTGTATATAATCCTATGTTTGTTGTCACTTTATATGTTATACTTTATTGAACGATTCTAGGACAATGTTATAAAAATGGTTTAAAGAAAATTTATAATTAAAGGATTGTTATAAGACGCACTTCTATAATATCTTTATACTTTTTCCTTGGACGAGCTTGTTTTATTTCCAACAATTGGACCGGATGCATGCTTAATTTTATCGCATGAATCCATTTATCATTAACAAAACCATTGCTATTTTATGGTCATTCTTTTATATGACATTTCATGTAGCTATACAAATGTTAACCTATGTAATTGATGTAAGATCGGTTGCGGTCTGATTATTAATATTAAGAGTGGTTTGTAACACATTACAACTCTTTAATATGACAACTTTACGTACATGTATATGACACTTGTTTTCATTGTAATTCGATCGTTTGTATCCAATTTTGACATCACATCAGGTGTTGATATATGAAATATTGACCACAAATCTATACAAATTGCCAACTTGACTTGGCAGAATGAAACTGACGGGGTAATTCTCGGAAATGACCTCTAAAAGAATATTGTGACATTATCGCCATGACAGTTTTTAGAATTAGTTACTTGTTTTATTTTGAACTTTTTTTTTCCAGTTCTACGATTAGAAGAAAATAAATGGCGGGAAATGATATTTATTTATGTAAAAGAAAAACTAATATGTTGAAAAAGAGAAACGGAGATCTTTGGGAACAGATATAAATTAGCTTCACTATGACTCGCCTTTCCCTGAGTTATTTTTAGCAAGTGCATCTAAGAACAGCAATAACAAATGTAGCGATTCAGCTATTGCTTTTAATGTCTTATGTTTCAATAGGTCATAATGTTACCTCTGCCTTTTTAGTTTAGATAAATCAAAGAAACATGATAGAAAGTCTTTTAATCGACAGATATCTCCTTAAATATATAATTGTCAAATAATATATATTCTTTTTATTTCAGCCAACGTGAATGAAGACGACATATCTGCTGGTAAGTGTTTTTTTCATTCATGTAAAATGCCTTTGTAAAAAGAAACCAAACTCAGTATAATAGTGTGTTCATTCAGGTAAATTACCTATTAAGAAGCTTTATGTGAAATAAATAAGAAAATATAAAAAAAACGAACAACAACATAATATACAAATAATCATACATGATTTATGCTTCTTAAGCTCGCACTCTGATCAAAACTGAATCCTTTGACATAAGCTCGATCCAGTTATATTTGAGAACCATTGTAAGAGACAGTCCACCTTTTAACTGTTTTGTAACAGCACAATTGTCATCAATAGGCCCCCTAAGAAGAAATGTAGATACATTTACTTCTTTTGATAGCACTAAGTTCGATTATTTGTCCAATTTTAAAGCACAAAAAGTTGCGATTAACTTTTTTAATCATTTTTCTCCATGAAAATGATATTTCTGATTCCTATAAATGTTATTAAAAAGCTGTAGGCTACATAAAAATATGAATACACATTTGAAGTCAAGTCTAGTCTATCGATAATCTAAACATGTTTCAACATGTTATATGTGTCTTTAATGCATGTTTGATTCCTTTTGACATAAAACACATCTATCAATACGCCATGTTTTCCTACCGCAGTACACCATTGCCCGAAGCAACACCAGTCTTTGTTTTTGTAAATGATTATATAAAGGTAAAAAGTTGTAGAAATCTTACCGTTCTTTCTCTTGTATAATTGCAGAAGACGGCCAGGCATTGGATGGTAAGTATTCTGTGATAGATAACATTGTTAAAACAATGCAATATTTGAAGATGCCATCCAAACATCATCAACAAATTTTCTTGCATATTAGACTGACACTACCGTTAGTTTAACCAATGCCGGAAATTGCATCTGCTTATACGAAGACGTCAATTTAACTTTTTTGAAATGAACCGCGTTAAAGTGACGTCATTTCGGCTCATTTTAAATGAAAACTTGTGCCTAAGATGACGTCATTTCGCTGTTATGAATAAAGATGTAAATTCATACTGCTTTTTTAAAGAAATGGTAACGGATTAAAGAACATTTATTTCAATGAAAAAAATCTTATTGAGGGAAACCATTTTGAATGTGATAGAATATGGCAGACTATGCAAGAAAAGATATCTCACATATGTTTGCTGTTCAGATCGAAATATCCGTCCCTCGGGTACCCGCCCATGGGCGGTATTCGGCAAACCTCGTTACCACCTAATGAGCGGAGAACCCTCGGGACTGATATTCTGATCCGAACCGTAACTTATAACAGATATTTTCAGTCTTGCATTGAAAATTACAACAGTGCTAATACGTCGTGACTTTCTGTGATCTTCTGAAAACAAAAACATGAAACGATCAAGTTAATAATTTCTGTCAAAACTATTTTAAAAAATTATTTGAACTGATGAGATACCGAACAGGCCGCTGATTTAGTAACTTACCTTTGCAGAGAATATTTCTTGGGGAAAATCAGTATTTTTGTGAGAACATAATTTCGCGTTTACTCGAACTGGCAGACATTAATTTGGCTCTCTTTGAACTTTCTTTAGGAATTCTTATTTTCTCTATTTAACTCCCAGAAGCAATCTTCGTCTAGATTCAGTTGGGCTCTGCATTCTCTGCATTCTTAAGAAATAAGTTTTTGAAAGTAAAGATACGTTACTTTCGTTTTGCGTAATATAAAACAAAGCATCTCTACAAATAAAGCGTTTGTAAATGTAAAAAAATAGAGCAGTTAAGGTTATATATTTACAATTATCGTATAAAAACATTATAATGTAATTTGATTTATTACATTTTTTTACAGAGCGTGCATGTATCTTCGGTCAAAACAAGGAAAGTAAGACTTTGTTTTTTAATTTTAATTTGAGTTTTGCCATTTTATATATGTGCAATTGATTGTATGAGATGTCATTCTGTTTTAACAAACGAATGCACCGACACACCTTGAGGGTGCGATGGTATTGGGCTAAGTTTCTCACTCCGATCACGTGAGCCCACCATCTAAACTCTCTCACCCAGAACGCACAGTCCAGCTCACCGCATCGTTTCTAAAGAGTCTGTCACTACGCAGCTCTTACAGTGATACGTATGCATTCAATTTGCAAGCGATACTGATTTACTTCTGTTCATACAGAGGCGAGAGTATAAAAGCTTGCTGCTAATGTTGTGCAGCGACTGATCGTGAGGTGATTCCACTCACCAAGCGAAATGATGAATTCCTGACGCCGCTCGCGGTAAATCGTAGTACCCGTCACCCCGATCACACTCCAACGCTCAACTTTTTGAGCAACCGGACGGCTGCAAGAACACTGTTGTTCTCTCACAAATGGTAATAACGACTGATGAACCGGATTGGTGATAAATTGGTCAACGGAGAGTCAGAGATAAAACGTTAAAAAAGTTGCAAAACGTAACCAATGCCTATTTCAAGGTGACATAATGTTCACATTTTAAATTGTCAATTCGAGTTTAATTAATTATATTATACTTCAGACGATTAACTTTTATAATGGTCATTGTCCAAAAACTAATAATGAAAAATAGTAAGGATAATATAAAATTAAATAAAAACTGCCTTAAAATAAGACTGCCCAACCCTTTTTATTTATTAATTGAACATTACCGATACAGATATCTATAGAACTTTCCATGAGCCATGTATGTTAGTTTCTTTTGTGAAGCAAAATTAAAAACAGTTATAGCTAAAAATATATGTTTTTCTTTGAAGAATTTTACCTGTTCCTTCACCATTCACACCTAGATTGGCACTTTCATATCACTTGAAATTGTTTTGTCTCAGCTTACCATATATTTTAAAATAAAGCTGTTTTAGTTGAATTATTACATATATTTCAAATAAATGTTAAGATTTTGTTTTCTTTATTACCAGTTACTTTTTGGGCGCTTCTTTCGCAATTATAATAACATAGATAACAACTCGGTAACCTATGGAAACGGATAAACATTGACTTGTAAATGGACATCGCTAAATATACCACGAGAGAAAACTACGTTTAGAATCATACCATACTGCGACAATTCTTTATTGTTGGCAACATTAAAAAGAATGAATTTATCTCCATTTTATCAAACTGTACCAAAACGGAGAATCTCTGATGGACATTGAGCGTTGTAAAACCGACGGTTGAGATTTGTTTGTCAAAAAAAAATGTAAATCATGGTTATGCCACCAGGTCTTTGTACACAAAAAGTTTGCATTAATTATTGTAATATGGATTCCTAATGAAAAATAATTTAACAAGTATTGCATAAATGCGTATGGTTTTAAACATTCTTTTTCTAATTTCCAGTCTGAATTACTACTGTTCTGTACAATTGCATACACAATGTATTGTCATTAAATTCATATCTACGTTTGGCAAGTTCGCAGATTTTTTTAAAAAGAAGCGAGTAATTACATAGAAACCATTATTGTTTACATATATAATGTACATGTATAGTAAGTGATATTATATATTGATATTTCATATTTGATATAAAATCTAAAATAGATGTACACAATTAGATAATTTCGATACTAAAATATTTTTACGATATCATGGACAAACTGAACGTTGAATCATTTCTTTCCACAAATTTCATGTGTTTTATGTGTTACATGTCCCCTCTTGATTTCAATAGATCTTTCTCTTACTCTTGCAAACAGTGTTGTTGTATTTTATGAGTATACCAGCAGTTCTTCTGTTCCCATAACTAAATTGTATTTAATCCATCGCTATTATACCGTTGTGGATCAGATACACCACAAGCGAGGTTTTACATGTACGCACGAGTAAAATGGCTGCGTAGGAATGGTAAGCTGTGCACTGCATACCTTTAGAAGATCCGAATAAAGTGCTACCTAGACGAATGTCAGTTTAAATCTGAACAGGTGTTGAAATTAAAGGGGCAGCGTTACGGCACGAAAATTCCATTACATCCGAACGGGACGAGCACTCTTCAGTTACATCGTAATGTGCCCGGAATCCGACATCATGTGACTGTCAAATTTATATATAGACAGTGTTGCTTTAATGCCTTGAACATTAATTAATAATATCCCGATAAAACGATGTACAAACATTTAATAAGCAAATGACCAACGATGACATTCAAATTTGAGCATAAACGTAGCATTTAAGACATTAAAGGCATCAGACCCGTTACCTAATCTAACCGAAATAAAACAGCACATGTGTGACCTCGCTTTACTAGAAAAAGGCGGATATTGAAGTTTTTGAAACCAAAACTATGTTCGCTAAGCACTTTACAAATAATCTCAATAGAAAAATACAAAACTTTATGAAATAATTTTTTTAAAATAAACTCGTTTCATAGTTTCTAAAAGTACTGAAAAAAATCAGATGTTTTATGAAATTGCAATGCAACAGCTCTTGCTTTTACACCGATGCGTTTTGTCCAAATGCGAAATAGTTCCCCTTTAGTCACAGAAAACGTGTTTACGCATGATTCCACAGTATATTGCACTTAACTGTACTGCTCATCAATCCGAGTCTGCAAAAACAACAAAAAACAAACAAACAAAACAAAACAACAACAATAACAACAAACACACAAACACATACGTACTGTCAAGTCTTAAAAAAGTAAAAAGATTGCAGATTCCAATCGAAACTTTGGAACAAATTGAGCAAGAGACTGCACACGTTGCTGATTGAATCACTTGAATCACTTTCTTTGTTTTGTTACCATTGAAGCGTACTTTAATTAAGTTTGTGGTAATTTTAGAAAAAGAACACAAAACTGGTAACGATAATTTTTTTTATATTTAATGAAACAATATGTCTTTTGCAGCGCACACAATGGTGCTGTAAAAATTAGTAAAACCATATGAATGCACGAAGCATTTCCTTTGAAGAAAAAAAGCATTTTTTATAGGCATTAATTCACCGAGTTAATGCTTTTAAAATGTTGTCTTCAACTGACTGGGTATTCGTTTAAATGATTCTAGAGAAACTCATGTCAATAAAACGAGGTCCTCATGTTTCAGCGAACAGATGTTTTCATTGTAAAGATCATTTAACATGACCTTCGGTTAGTCTTAAATGTTATGCTAATAATTGCAGCCAGCGCTTATCCCTGCGTGATCGTAACAAGCGACTGAATGTGTTAAAAATACTTGAGTCTGTGCATCTCTTAGGTGAAGAACCCTGGTGTATCTTTAAGTTTGTAACACCATAGATTATTTAAAATCATCTTTCCTTTTATGACTCCATATTGCCTAAATTGTGTTGGTGCGTCGTTAAACCAAACCAAACCAAACAAAATAAACCCTATAATTAAAAAAGAAAAACAACAACAGATTAACGAAAGATTTGTTCATGTTTCATTACAGAAGAATTATACGCACAATGAGGAACTGGTAGGACGAAGATAAATTGTGATGAATTTTCCTGAATTCTATTAGAGGACAATATACCAGGCCCTGTATCAATATGCAAGATAATTAATAATTAAGATGAAGAATTTGTGTACTATATATTTTTATTCTAATACCCAATTGTTTCGTTTAATAAAGAAAGTAATTTGTAATTTTATCAAAAAATCTAATGGGTTTATCATTTGAAACAGTGGCCAAGAAGTGCATGGCTGTGTCGAGTGTGTCGCCTTTGCTTTTCCTGTTTCACACTAAAATTGTTCCCCGTTTCTGTACAGTTCCTTGCTGGGAAGCTCTCAAGTAGTCCTGTTTGACTGAATATTGTCATGCACGTCTTCGTTGTCAATCTCTGAACTCATATCTTGTTCTATATTCTTTAAAAAATAACTTGACACATTAAATTTATAAAATCTAATTGGGGTTTGTCTTGGTATCTCTGATTGATTGTTCTTATATTTTGTGAATCATGATTTAAGAGTACATGTAGCTGCATTTCGATGAAATGCAGTAAACATTTGAGGTCATATATTCAAAAAATCTGTGAGAATTATTATCTTCTTTTCTTTTAAATGTAGCTATTTCTACAATACACCACACCCGAGACAAAATATCTTTACTTTCTAACAAGATAAAATGACCTCCATTAGATAAAAACAGTATATAATTGAATTTTCACTTCAATGTAAGGTTTGCCATTTCAACAGTTTGATAAGATAAGGCACCTTATAGCATTTACCTTAACATATAGACACATTAAAAACGCATTGCTAAGCAAAATTCATTGCAAACATAAAGTGCAATATTGTAATAGCCGGCGGTAGTCAGAATTACCAAGAAGAGTTTTAAAGTTAACAATAGTTTTATTGTTTAAACAATTTATAAAAATTTATATTATACGAAGATGTGACAATATTTAAATAAATTATACATTAATAAATATATATAGTAAAATTGCAGACGATAATATTAACGAATTATTTCAATAGATTCTTATCCGATCTAGATCATACCAATGAACACACACTATTTAATACTAATAACGGACATAATGGACGGAATGGTTAGAACGGACTTACGTTATACATTAAGTATCTCTTTGACTTTCAAATATTGCCGGTCAAGAACCGTACGCAACTGAATTACTGTCGGCACGCCAGTTTTATTAGCTGGCAGGTCACCCGTGATCTAAAGCAACCAATGATTGGAGTCCAGAAAAAAGGGGTGTGACCCTTTTAAACCAAATAAATACTGTCCGCACGTTAGCCCAATGAAATCAAGAACGGTAAACGCAGGAATTACAAAACTACCGGTCATTTTCTGAGACTCCACCATGATATAATGACTTTAATCATTACCAGTAAGTTAATATGCATGTAAAACTTATAAAATACAATTCTTGGTAAAAAATAACAATCATTTTTGATATACAACACTATGACAAAAAGTGACTGATCTTCATATAATCAACAAAAAATAGGTTACTGAACGGCGGCTGAGTACAAGACGCTCGAAATGGAACTTAGCTATTCAAAAAGCAAAATTGTAAAATATAACAATAATTCATAATTTCAAGTGACTGTGAAGTGTTTCTGAGACGAAACAATATAAAGGGCATATTTCCTATTGGTTAAGTTCAGTCCTATAATGAGTAATTATCACATAAACGTAAAAATCGCAGAGTCACCAACTACAACAACAACAACAAAAAATGTCAGCCTCGATGAATTTGTGTAAATGTAAGGAGGAAATCATTAAATACATGAGATAAGTAACATAGTAAGTGATATTGTAGGGATATTTCTTAAAGACTCCAGAGATTAACAAAGGTAAATGCCTACATGATTTAACAATTTTATGAACTCTGCAACGAATTATACAAGCTAAGAAAAATGCAATCTGTGATTTCTTACACTCTCCCCCTACTAAAAAAAAAAACAAACTTCTCCGAAGTTTCAAATTTAACATATAACAGTTACATTTAACAAGTAACAAATGTTTATAATTTTAAAAACTATTCATCATCACTACAAATATCATCAGCTTTGAAAATCCTTTTAAATTTTCAAACTGTCCTTGTGCTAATAATAATAAGTAAATAGCCCCTTCCATCTTAACATTTAAAAGTATGGAAACACATCAGTCAATGCATTTATATTTTCAGATAAAATATATAAATTTTAAAATACAGCAACATCTTTCATGTATGTTACAACTTTTGAAAATAATGTTTGATTAGTCGCCAATTTTGCATGACAGTACCAATAAATGATTAAATTATAAAAATAGGCAACAATTTATGACACAACCCTGTACATTCAATGTACTCATAATACACAAAAAAAATTTTATTAGTTGCCATTTACCTGATTTTTTTTTTTCCAAAACTTAAGTTTTTATTAATCTTTAAATCAAGGATTAAATTCTGAGTGGTAACAGGTACCTTATCGCATATTTTTAACAGTTTGTCATATGACGTGTCCGCGTAACATACTACCACACTCTATCATTGACAAGCTACTTGTCAGTCTCAACTTTGTCACAAGACTTTTCTTGTCTGTTGCAATTTGCCTCAGTCTTTCATAACAAAGAAACGTGAGTTATGGGAAGTGTCACCCTTTTCAACATGAGAAGCTGTTCCAGGAAAGAACAAAAAAGTTAAAACAAATCATGGGTGTATGACCTTGACTTAGGTGTAACACCTCTCTGTTTCAGAATAGCAAAAACACTGAAACCAAACTGCAACAGTTTGTTGTCAGGAAAGACAGGTGTTCCAGTTCCTTGGGCTGGCCATTTAAATTTAACATCATCTTTAATGATAGTGATTACCTCATCTGCAGACCATTCCCTCTGTGC